TGATTTTTAATGTCAACAGAATGTGCTCAACAAAGGGAAAAAGACCCTCTGCGTTCAATGTCTGGCTTAGCCATTAGCTAACTGTGTGGGCTGGGCAACTTGTGTTTTGTCATCTGAAAAGCAGGGACAGGTGGACTCATAAAGACCCCCACATTAGCCCTTTACCTCTGTTTTGATATCAGGCAACTGTGTTGTACCCTCAGCTCTCCGAACATACTGCTTACAAGGGAATGCAAAGCACAGACAGGAACACACATTTCATCCTTTGGCAGACTTTTCCAGGACACCCTGGAGGGTCATGGACGGTACTCACACATTCAAGGAGCCTCAGCGTCTCATCAGCTCACCTTCTGCCTCTGGAGGAAGGCTGATGGAGACCACAGGTCTAAGACTCACCAGCAGAGGCACCCCCCCCACCTCCTTACACATGGTCTCGGAAAACCCGGGGCGGTTCCAGCCAGACCAGTCAGGGCAAACTGGTCTCGTGCTTGACAAACAGCAACGCAATTAATTCCTGCTGTCGGGTTCATGGCAGTGGGCTCAGAGTTCTGTTTGAGAAACGCTGCTGCTGGGAAAAATATTTGCACAACCAAGTGGGCTGCACTGAGCGGCAGAACTCTACCTGCTCGGCCGCGAGTCTGGGGCCCTGGCTGACCTGGTCTTATCAGCGGCCTTTGTACCTCATTTAAGATCAGCATGGAGACAAAACCTGGAGCCAACTGACTGACCAGAGTAACAACCAGACTTAATGAAATTTATCATAGGAATTTAAAATGAGAACCAAGTTTTTAATGCAGTTCGATAAGTACCCTAAGTCAATAGATAGTTATCTGGAAAAAAATATATATAAATATATGTGTATTTATGCTTTGAAAGAGGAATAGCAAGAGGGAGAAAAACCATAATAAACTACCAAAGGCAAATATCAGCAAGAATAAGGCTGGTGATGGGAGGCATAAAATGGTACTCCCTAATACTCATCTATTTATTTCATTTAACTGTTAGACACAGGACAGTAATATAGTTCTTGCCTCAAAGTCAAAGCGTCTGGAAGGGCCTGGCCCGGTGGCCTGTGAACAGGCGCTTTTCAGCCCGGGAACCGAGGAGCGAGCTCACAGAACGAGGGGGGCGGTGATTTCCCCTGACATCAGACCAGCGTTTTACATCTTAAAAAGTGTTTTTGTGGCTACTGTTTTATTTTTCCCTCACAACACTCCTGTGAAGAAGGCAGGGCAGGTATATTATCTTCATCTGACAAATATGCCACTTGTTCGTTAGCTTCTAAAGAGAGTCGAAGCTCTAATTAAAGTTTCACAACATTAATAATTAGTGTTTACTGAGGTAAACAGTGCATCCAGTTTACAACATGATTGAGAGACCTGAGAAAAAGCAGACTGTCCCCATCCCCGAAGCGCAGAAATACAGCCATTTTCCTAACCAACGCCCCCGCCCCCCCATGTGCTTCCTAGGTGTCCACAAGAACAGGGAACGGTCACAAGCCATTTCTATTAATGCTTGTAGCTCATCACATTAACAAATGACATTAGGGGACTCTCTGTAAGACCAGTCAAGTGTTTGCAATGAATGCAAGCAAAACTGGACTGGTCAACAGAAGTAGGATGGAGATCTTGTGGAAAAGAGGTGACAGACACAAAGACATGATTGAAGCTGAGGGGGTAGATGGTGAGGAGGAAGACGAAGCTGGGAGGGGTGCCTAGGTGAGGCTGCCAGGTGTAGCAAATAAGAAGCAAGGACACCCGGCAAAATCTGAATTTCGAATACATAGTGAATACTTTTTTTTTTTTTTAGCATAAGTCAGTCCTCTATTTTATCTGGAGGCTCCATCCACAGAAACCCTCAGCCTCTACCAGAATGGAAGGTCCTTGGAGGCAGGAGTTTGGGCCTGTTTGTTCCCTGCTGAAGCCCCAGCGCCCAGAAGAGTGCCTGGCACACTGGACGTGCTCCAGGATCTCTGCCGTGTACTAGTAAAGCATATTTCTTCAGCGAGGCGGGGTGCACCTGGCACATCACCTTGATGCATTTTGTCAGCCTGAAACTGAGGGCAATGCATTTCACAAATTACAGCATTAACTCACTGCTCTTCTTTTAAAATCGGTACCTTTTATTCAAACTAACTGAAGGACTCAATGGGGAAGTCAAAGGATAAAAGGACTCTGAATGGTCCCTTCCTCAGTTTCAACTCTCAACAGGGACATGCATGTGGGATGTCAGTCCTCAGACGTGTTGGCAGCAAGGGCACCGCTTGGCCAACTGGTTCTCTTCTCAGCTGGCTTCTTTTGCTCCTGCTTTGTTCCTAAGACCATGAAAAGTGTTTCTGGTGCCAATGCCCTGACCTCACCTTCATATGGGATTTTTCCTCATGTTCTACGGAGCCCAAAGCACTGATTTTTCAGGGGAACGGGTGGGAGAGACTACTTTTGGGTACCACACACGTAGGGGAAATACAGTTTAAAAAAGTATATTTAATATTATACTTTATCTTTGAAAAATGAAAAAAAATATACAATTTACTCCACATTAAAAACTTTACTGAACTACCGAAATTATTTCTTTTTCTCACCGGAAGGATCAGTAACCAGCCCTCATTTGCTGCCATAAAGCCCTTTTTATCCCATCTTAATCTGCAGCCTATAAATGTTCATATGTTAATTACATTTTGAAACAGTGTATTTATAACCAGCATATACTTTTGCATTGTTCGAGTATTTTTTTTTTTAACAGTGGGCAGCTATTTCTTTTGTAATATAGAGTAGGAAAAGAAAAGGTAAAATCATGATTTTTATAAGCACATCATCTCAACTGTGTGAAATATACAAAATTTAAAGAAAACATGGAAAATAAGCAGAACATGTATTTCTGGGTTGTAGTATTATCAGGAATTCCTGCTGTATTTTTTAAGAAAATATTAAACTTTTATATTTTAAAATTTTCTAAAATGAGCATTGTATATATGTATATATATACATGCATATATGTGTGTGTGTGAGAGCATAACTAAAATAATTGTGTCTGGCTGAGCCTCTAATCAGATTGCTTGTAGAGGTCATGGCCACTAGAATAAACAGTACTGTCCCTTGCCTGGTCCCGACACCTATCTGCAGTAACCATTTATCCCCAGACACCCCAGAGGTCACTAATTAGAGAGCTTCCCTTTGCTTCCAAACTCAGTGCACAGACCTGTTAGGCAGTGGGGAAAGGTTATAGCTGGGTCATCAGACTTTAGGAGCAAAGGGGAAAGGGACACTCTAGGACGAGTCAAGTTGAAAAGGAATGGAGGGCAAACGAGGTAGGTACCTAAACCCTCGGAGAAAGGAATGTGCCAGAGATACCAGAGGGTCAAGATCTGGAGGCACCAACAACCCCAGACCCCCCTTCCTCTGAATGTGAACACAGGTAAGGGCAGGAATGGGATGGGAGAGGATAGCAGCACGGGGGGCTGAAACTCACCCACAACACTCAAGAAATTTCACAATGCTTCAATTTCCTCCTTTATCAAATATTTTACCAGAGAAACAAGGAATAATCCTGATTTCTCTTCCTTAGCTGAGTGCCCGAGTTTCTCTGCCATCACATAGGGATGGTGGTGGTGGTGAGAACGGCATAATCTCATAGGATTACTGTGAGGATTAAGCATGATGATGCAGGCAAAGCATCCGGGCCACTGCAGGACACAGTAAGCGCTCATGACGTGTTAGCTTTTGTCGTTCATGTTGTCTTAGTGACAGCAGTCCCGAGCAGAATCTACAAAAGCCCCAAGAAGCTGGGCAGTAGAAAGGGCAAGCAAAAGAATAAACAGAGAAAGAGACCAGTTGTCCCGGAATAAGCTGCCGAGTTGGGTTGGGTTGGGTTGGTTTGGGTTTGGTCTGGGGCAAGCTACAGCGTTCTTGCCAGAAGGGATGCTTGCAGCTGGGATTGCTGGGACAGAAAGTCACATGTGGGCTGAGTATGCCCACTCCAGAGGGCTCCTCCTATTCCTGGTTTACCAGAGCTTTCCAGCTTACAGGGTGCTTGTAAGTCCACTTCTGGTCCTCACATGGGTCCTAACCCTGCAGGTAGATGTATTTACTGACGTTTTACACATGGAGAAAGAGCCCTGCCCCATATCCCATGGTTAGTGCTGGATATGGGACTCTAATTCAGGGCTCCTGATTCCAACTCCCCATTCTTCCCATTAGCCAGAGGAGCAGAGCCAGGACTGGGTTCAGACATCACACCAAGTGCTCCCCACACACAATCCCTACTCTCATACACTCTGCTCTTTGGCAGATCATTCAAGAGTGGAATGACCACCTGGCGTACCGTATTGGACAGGTGGTCACCTGCTGTCTTACGCTGTCTCTTGGGAGACTTTTCTCTGTGTTTGTTCTATAAATTTTCCCAAATCTTATATAAGCAATATTGGACGAGATATGCAAACTACATAGATCTCTAATGTAACTGGAGTAGAACTGAGAATGCAAGTCTTCATGATTCATGATACGGCTTGTCGTATATTCCTCTCCGGGAAAGTCACTTCAAATAGTATGCTCTTCTCTAGCCCCTCTTTCTCTTTGTGTAGCAACATGAAACGAAAGATGCCTGGGAGTGGATACTAGGAATTGGCCTGAAGCACCTAGACTCACTTCCCTCTCTCGTTGCTCAATCCCTCATAAAGAAGTCCGAGAGGAGTGCACATTACACTTGGATCAGCATTCAGGATTTTACATTTATCTTTCACCACTTCAACAGAATTGACTCGGGTGATAATTTACCTAAATGATTCCTGTACATAAAGACTCTATAGATGAAAGCGAATTCTCGACGAGATTAAAAAAAAAAAAGGCAAAAAACCATCCTCATTGGATAGAAAATTTTTTGAAAGCCTAGTTATCTAGGCAACTTGCTAATTAATATCTAGCCATTATTAAAAAAGAAATAAGAAGTCAGCTTAAGCAAAGGCATACACTTACACACACACACACACTCCAGAGCACAGTTACCTGATGCACAGCCGTTAACCTTTGTGGTGTGAGCCATGCTGGCTGGAATCCAACGACAGATCCAGAAAGGAGTGAGGAGTCATGCAAATTTTATGCATCAAGTTCCCAAATGCATTCAACCTGAAACAATAAAGAGAGCCCCATCAAAATGGATCATTTACAAATATGTACAACACTAAATCTTAGACGTCTGCTTGCAAAGATGGCTGCTCATGGACGGCGCCAATCCGGGTGAGGGTGAGGCAGCCCGTGGACGGCGGTGACAGCTGCCTGGCCCCCACAGATGTGCCCGGGGACGGGCACTGAGAGCAGGTCTCCAGACACGGTACTCTTCCAGGAGATAAAACCGGTTCTCTAGAAACGTGGCTGTTTTTAGGAAGGTGGACTTCAAACGCCAATGGCCTCCAAACGGGTATCGCTCTATAGCCCATCACCAACCATTTTTGGTTCTTACACGTAAGCCTCTTTTGCAAAGGTTGGCTCAACACTTTCGTTCACTCAATTGCACTCTTAGAGTAGTTGTTGTTCTTATACCAAGCGCTCACATTTTTAAAGCATTCATTCATGGGAACCCTTCTGAGGTATCTCAAAGCCTTTCACCTACCTGGTCTTTTAAAACATAAATGTGATCCGGTCAGCTCCTCTCTTAAAAAGTCTTCCATATCTCCCACTGTCCTAACAGATAACCTTCACATGACATAGTGTGGCACACGGCTTGGAAACATTAGGGTTCACGTTGGGCACCCTATTTCTTACTTTATATGAATCCTCTATTTAAAATTTAACTGAGGGGCGCCTGGGTGGCTCAGTGGGTTAAGCATCCGACTCTTGACTTCGGCTCAGGTCATGATCTCAGGGTCGTGGAATTGAGCCCCATGTGGGGCTCTGTGCTGGGTGTGGAGCCTGCATAAGATACTCTCTCCCTCTGCCCCTCCCTGCCCCCTCTCTAAAAAAACAAAAAATTAAAAAAAAATGAAAGTTAACTGCGATAACTACCATAAGATGTATTACAATCACAAAACTGAGAACAAAAAAGAAACAAGAACGGGAAAGGAACCCTGCTCCAACCTTGCTTTTTCAAAATACCTTTTGAAAAATGCTGGCAAAGAAAGCAAACAATGGTACAGATGGAAGTATTCCGTTTCCACTGTGCCCGGATCCTAACTCTAGACCCACAAAACCTGAAGAAATTGATCTAATGAATTCCAAGTTGAGAATTCAAGCATGAATTCGGAAACCCACAATGACCTTCCAATAGGAGAACGCCAACATAACAAACACATCCATATACACTGGGTTCTCATGCAGCCACTGAAGTCATTTAAGAGCTTTTAATAATGTAGCAAAATACTCAACGGACATCAATAAGTACTGTATTCTGTCATAAACCTAATTTTGTTAAAAATATGGATGTACATATTTATACATTTATTTAAAACCATGAGAAGGAAATACACCAAAATGTTTCTTACGGTTGCCCCTGGGTGATGACATTAGGAATGAGTTTAGCTCCTTTATTACTTTTGTAATAGTAACTGTTTTCTTAAAAAAAAAAAAAAAAAAAAAAAATTAGAGACTTCCTGTGTCTGGTTTTATTTGCTTTAAAACGCTCGGGAGGAAGAAAAGAGAGTTTTCCAAATGCTATGCAGAAGGAACCGAACAGGCCATAGTCACGGAGATGATAAGAAGTGAGAAAGACAAGTAAATAAGAGGAGGGCAGAGGATATGGCTGATCTCTGTGATCACACAGGGTGAGCATTTCTCGCTGCGGAGCTAGTGAACTTTTCTTCGCTGCCTGAATGAGCCTGAGCTATAGTTCAAAAGCTAACGACACCGTTCCCTTGCTTGGCTTCTCCAGCTCTGGTGAGTACCATTCAGCCCACCTGCAGAGACCTGATTCTCAGCCTTCCGCGCGTGAGGCCTCCGGGCTCCCTGCTGGTCCCCATTTTTGGTCTGGCAGCACACCAGGAGGACAGGATGGCTCTAATCTGTCTGCCTATGTGGCAATCACCTGACCTGTTGCAAACAGGCACTGGTTCAGGTCCATGGCATTGAGCTTGGAAAGCAGTAACCTCTGTGCAAGCAGAGCTGGCTCACTCAAATGGCAGGCTTTAGGGATCAAGTGAGCATTACCTTTAAGAATAGGAATGACTTTCTCCCACTCCCCCTGCTTGTGTTCCCTCTCTCGCTGTGTCTCTGTCAAATAAATAAATAAAATTAAAAAAAAAAAAGTTTAAAAAAAAAAAGGGGCGCCTGGGTGGCTCAGTCGTTAAGCGTCTGCCTTTGGCTCAGGTCATGATCCCAGGGTCCTGGGATCGAGTCCCACATCGGGCTCCCTGCTTGGCGGGAAGCCTGCTTCTCCCTCTCCCACTCCCCCTGCTGGTGTTCCCTCTCTCGCTGTGTCTCTCTCTGTCAAATAAATAAATAAAATTAAAAAAAAAAAAAGTTTTAAGAATAGGAATGACTACACATGCCTGGCAAATGCAGCTTTGTTAAAATATATATATATATATATATATATATATATATGTGTGTGTATATATATATATATTTGGACTGGACTATATATATATTCTGGGAGGACAGAAGGAGGAGGAGAGGGAGCAGGGAGATAAGGGGGCAGAGGAGAGAAGCCCAGCTTCTGGAATTCTTCAACTCATTATACTTCTAAAAGTCAACAAAAACAAAACCTAAGCAAAACCCTGATCCCTGGCCCCTTTCTAGACCTAAGCGCTTGTGCTCTTGCTTCATAACGGCTTGTAAATACCACCACTTAAACTCTTGAGGGCAAACAGAAGGCAAGAAGAAACAGGCTGCGTGTATTACATGTGCGTGAAATATGCATCAAGGTATTTGGATGGATATATGCCCAGAATCTTCTGAGTCAAGCTTCCTCCACTTTGGTCCAAGGTCCTCTCCTGTTAGTGAACCTCGTCCCCCTGGCAGAAGATTTCTACGTCAGATCCAAATTGGTCTCTCCCACCCTCCCTCAAACTGAACAATAAAATCAAAATGAGGAGGAAGCCCCAAAATTAGGAACTAGAAGCATACTGCTGGTAGAAACAATATGACGTGGCTGTCACCGGGCGTGGATCCTGGTGGCATCTGCAGAAAAATAACACTTTTATATTGTGTATTGATTTTCCCCAGTTACTGTTCATGCCTGACAGGAGGCCTCAAACTGTGAGGCCTTAGTCTTCTTAATGATATGCAGATTCTTCAGTCAGTGCATTATATAAACCAGAAAAGGTCTGGCCACGATCCGTTCTCTGTTACAGATCAATAAACTGCTTCTTTTCTTCCCCGGAGAAGTCTGCAAACAGTAAATCTTAAGTGGTACGATGTGGCTTAGTTCTGCTAAGAAAAAGCACTTCTTTGAAAGGCTTTAGGGAAAGACATCAATACAGAAAATAATTTGTCTTCTTCTCTGTTGATTTCAAGAGACTAATCTGAAGAGCATTTTTAGTAGCTCCCCTGGTATAATGCAGAGAATACTACAGACATGGCATGAATTTACCCCATAAATAGTTTATATTATGAGCTTACCATGAAGCAAATGTGAACAACAGCTCGCTAGGTCTTTTCTAAGAACACATTAATGAAAACAGATGAAACTGAGATCTGATATATACTCTAGGCTGGTACTACCAACCACCCAAATGCCGCTGTCTTGGTTGGAGGCCAGATAATGATGATGAGGGCAATGCTGAGGACCATGCAGATGACAGCTGGTATTTATCGAGCTCTTAACTACTCTCAGTTATTGAGATATAAATAGCATCTACTCTACGGTGCACCATTTAAAGTATCACTGATTAAGAAAGGTGCTGTTCATTAAATGGCCGTAAGATGTTTATTAAACATTAATTGTAAGACATAGCCTCATTTCAGAAGTGTTTAAAATGTGAAAAAATGGGGGTGCCGGGGTGGCTCAGGCGTTAAGCGTCTGCCTTCACCTCGGGTCAAGATCCCAGGGTCCTGGGATCGAGCCCCACATCGGGCTCCCTGCTCCGCGGGAAGCCTGCTTCTCCCTCTCCCACTCCCCCTGCTTGTGTTCCCTCTCCCACTGCCTCTCTCTCTGTCAAATAAATAAGTAAATAAGTAAATAAATAAAAATCTTAAAAAAAATAAAATGTGAACAATGTGCATCTCAGAATTTGTAAAATTATGTTACATTCAAGGCACTTGTTAAAAACACCTAGCAGTCATCACCTTATTCAAACCTCACAATGACCCTGTGAAGTACTGAAAATTCTCTCTCCCCATTTTATAAAAAGGAAACCAAGGCACGGGGAGGTGAGAACATGCCTGGCTCAGAGAGCCAGGAAGTGAGAGAGCTAAGTCCAGAGGTAAGCCATCCAGCCCCTGGGGCTGCATGCACTACCGCTTTAACAAGTCAGAATTTATGCCCATAAATAAGAGGAACCTTTCAAGGAGGTCACCCGGGGGATGTATCTGCTTATTGCTAGGATGCTTTTTGCTCAAATTCCTTTTAGACAGAAAGTTATGCTTCAGAACTTGAGGGAATATTGTTTTTGGAGCGATTGTATTTCCCGTCTTATTCCTTGAGATGATGTGTATACGAGCTTGAGGAGGGACTTGGGTGACACACAGGAAATGTCTCAGTACGCGCCCATCACACTCTCCTCGAGACTCCACAGGACACCAGTCTGCCTGGCTCACCACCTCGTGCCTTAGCCTTTGCTATGGGTGTCATCTGACTCTTTCCAAAAATTAAGTACTCTCTCAACCCAGCAACATTCTCCGCCATTGAAGATAGGTGGGAGGCTCCCAACGGAATCACAGGAATTTCAAAAATGGACAGAAGGAGGGCAGTCACGTTGGAATGAAGAACCTCGAGGCTCAAATGACAACTGGGAAAAGTGAAATCATGGTTTGGATGCCCAGGTTCTGGAATCTCTTTCACGACTTGTCATCAGGAGTTTTTATTTTGCTTCACAAAATTAGAAACATAAACAGGTGTTCCTAAAATCTGGAAAAGAGAGAATCTGAAAAGATAATCACTCACTATCTCTCAGGGGCTAATGTGGCACCATTACCACCTGAGGCGATTTCTTTTTCTTTTCTCTTTGATGTGTCTATTTTTATCACCTTCACATGTTTTAAAGACCTGCAACTCTGAGCATCTGTGCCAGCCACTATTTTTTCTTTGTATGTATATTTTATTTTTATTTTATTATATTCAGTTAGCCACTGTATAGTACATCATTAGTTTCAGATGTAGTGTTCAATGATTCATTAGTTGTGTATAACGCCCAGTGCTCATCACAACACGTGCCCTCCTTAATACCCGTCACGCTGTTACCCCTTCCCCCCACCCCTTCCCTTCTGAAACCCTCAGTTTGTTTCCTGGGGTCCATAGTCTCTCATGGTTTGTCTCCCTCTCTGATTTCTCCCCCTTCAGTTTTCCCTCCCTTCCCCTATGGTCCTCTGTGCTATTGCTTATGTTCCACATCTGAGTGAAACCATATGATAACTGACTTTCTCTGCTTGACTTATTTCACTTAGCATAATCTCCTCCAGTCCCATCCATGTTGATGTAAAAGTTGGGTATTCATCCTTTCTGATGGCTGAGGAATATTCCATTGTATACATGGACCACATCTTCTTTATCCATTCATCTGTTGAAGGGCATCTTGGCTCCTTCCACAGTTTGGCTATTGTGGAGTTTGCTGCTATGAACATTGGGGTGCAGGTGCCCCTTATTTTCACTACATCTGTATCTTTGGGGTAAATACCTAGTAGTGCAGTTGCTGGGTCATATGGTAGCTCTATTTTCAACTTTTTGAGGAACCTCCATACTGTTTTCCAGAGTGGCTGTGCCAGCTTGCATTCCCACCAACAGTGTAGGAGGGTTCCCCTTTCTCCACAGCCTCTCCAACATTTGTTGTTTCCTGTTTTGTTAATTTTTGCCATTCTAACTGGTGTAAGGTGGTATCTCATTGTGGTTTTGATTTGAATTTCCCTGATGGGTAATGATGATGAACATTTTTTCATGTGTCTGTTAGCCATTTGGATGTCTTCTTTGGAGAAGTATCTGTTCATGTCTTCTGCCCATTTTTTGATTGGCTTATTTGTTTTTTGGGTGTTGAGTTTGAGAAGTTCTTTATAGATCTTGGAAAGCAGCCCTTTATCTGCGATGTCATTTAGAAATATCTTCTCCCATTCCGTGGGTTGCCTCTTTGTTTTCTTGACTGTTCCCTTTGCCAGCCACCATTTTGTTTCTGCTTGGAGACATAAGATAAACTAAAGCACTGTACCCTTCCCAGAAGTTCGCACACTAGTGCTGGAAGTGGGCAGGCACGTAATCAAAGGAGAAAGCACTACAACAGCTGTGTATGCACAGTTGATTCTACTCCATAGCAAGGTGCCCTTGCTTTGCCCCAAAAGGCTGCGAGTGGCCGAAAAATGTATTTATAAGAGACCAGTTGGCCTGAGTCTGAAAGGATGAATGAGTGTTTTCCAGGGTGAGAAAGAGGGAAGGGCATTCTAGACAGAAGGAACAATATATGCAAAGTCAAGAGATAAGAAAGTGCATGGCGGGGGATGCCTGGGTGGCTCAGTTGGTTAGAGCGACTGCCTTCGGCTCAGGCCATGATCCTGGAGTCCCGGGATCGAGTCCTGCATCTGGCTCCCTGCTCGGCAGGGAGTCTGCTTCTCCCTCTGACCCTCCCCCCTCTCATGTGCGCTCTCTCTCTCATTCTTTCTGTCTCAAATAAATAAATAAAATCTTTAAAAAAAAAAAAAAAAAAGAAAGTGCATGGCGGGGCACGCGGCTGGCTCCACTGTCAGAGCATGTATGGGACTCTTGATGTCGAGGTTGTGAGTTTGAGCCTCATGTTGGGTGTAGAGATTGCTTTAAGAAAAAAAATCGTAAAAAAAAAAGGGGGGGGACACCTGGGTGGTTCAGTCAGTTAAGCATCCGACTCTTGATTCTGGCTCAGGTCATGATCTGGGGGTCGTGGGATCGAGCCCTACATTGGGCTCTGAACTCAGTGGGAAGTCTGCTTTAGGGCTCTTGCTCTCCCTCCGCCCCTCTCCACTCCCCCCAAAAATAAATACATAAATCTTAAAAAAAAAAAAAAAAGAAAGAAAGAAAGAAAAAGAAAGTGGATGGCAAGCAGAGCTGTGGCTAGAAAACCAGGTGCTTACACGGGGGCTTAGCTGTAAACGAAGTGAACCGCCTAGTCGAGAAAGAGGACCAACGCCTGAGTGCTAAAGAGAAAACTGAAGAGAACAGAGTCTGCAAAAGCCAAACTGGAAACACACACATACACACAGACACAAATACCTTTACCCTAACGAAACGTGCAAAGCTCATTTATTTCTTTAAATAAGTCAAGTCTTTCAAACACTCATCCAAAAACCTATCTAACTTATTATACACCATCTATGATTGCCCAGATAGTTCTGTCCAGAGTTTAATTAAAAGTAACTTAATTAAAAGTATGTTTGAGTGCAAACTTTGGCCACAATTCATCATCAGATTATCTTCCAGTGATTTCTAATATTGGCTCCCACCACAGGAACCGTGGCAATAATGTTAACTACCTATTGGTTATTTTCCAACCAAATTACCTAATTATGACCCAGACCCATTTACCCTTCTCAAATACAGCAGATCATTTTCTTGGTATGGGTGGGGTAGAGGTGGAAGAAAATCTCCATTATCAATCAAGATCTAAGTCAGAATCCTACCTGGACACTAGCTTCATTTATAATGTAGAAAAACAAATGGTTTTTGCCCATTAGAAAAATTTTTTTTGCCATTTGTTCAAATAGTTACATTTACAACTTATTCCTTGGGGTAACATTTAAGAGGCGAGAAGAAGTTTCTATAGCACAGGAACAAGTTAAAATGAAGACACTAAAAAGAAAATAGGAAAGAAACCACAGTAAATGAATTCATTTATTCATTTAACAAGTAAGGGCCTGTATGTAATGTGCCAGGCACTGTTTCTGGTACGGAGGATTCAGCAATGAACAGAGTAGATGCTTACCTCCCCCCATGCCCCCAGTAGTCTAAAACTAGACATCTGTGCTTTGGGCTGAAAGATAATTTAGGTCTCACAGTATGTGGAACAGATTAGCTCTACTAAAAGCCAATTCCTCCCTCCTCTTTTCTGCCTTATGAAAAGAGCTCCCATGTTAAGATCCCGAAGTGGGCATGGGCGTGTCTAGCCCTCCCACAGACCCTCCCTGCCCATCCACGTCCACTCTACATCATGAAAGTGCTTTGGGATCTTTCCAAGAGTGTGCATAAGGACAATCCTACTAACCAACAGGTTCAAACCACCACCTCAGAGCCTGCAAACACTTGTGGAACCTGACACTGGCTCTGTCCCAGCTGGATTGCTGGAATTCACACAGCTTCCTGATCACTTAAAGAAAAGGCTGTTGGTAAATGCTCTTTCCAGGAAATGTTCAGTGAGGAGGGTTTATCAGATCGTAACAACCTAGGCGGAAAACTGGCTGTTTTCCTCTGCAACAAAGAGGGCAATGAAAGGGAAGATAAATGAAAATTAGATTTATCAAAAAAAAATTTTTTTTAAGCTTACCACCTTTAAGTTTCTTGTTGACTTCAGAAGAAACTACTTTTATGACTCAGCATAGGCCACATGAAATAGTAGGTCCTGATTTGCTTTGGTTCATCTCTAAAGGGTTGAAGGAAGAGACCACAGCAGAAACCTAACCCTATCATTTACAAGTCCATCCTCGTTAGTGACGTCTTGCTCTTCGAAAGCATCCCTACTGCTAGTTGTTTACGAGTTAAAATGTCAGTGCTTTAGCCTCTTCAAATATTAAAGAACCCAAATGTAACAGCCATAGTTGTTAAGAGAATTAGTTTACTGTAGTGTGAAAGGCTTTTGCTCATTTCCTATTTTAATTATTTAAAATGTGAAGTTCTCATTTATTTACTGAGGTAGCAGACATTTTCCCTCTAATTCTTCTGGGATTCGATCCTTATAGGATATATTCTCCGTGATTACTCTTAAAGTGATCAATGCTATTCAATGACAAGTTCAAAGGTGCCTGGGATGGTCATTAAGTAAAAGAGAATCATAACACATCCTCAGGTTCTTCATCTTCAAGCAGAGGTTCTCAAAGTGTGGTTCCCTGACAGCACCATTAGCACTCATCTTCTGGGAACTTCTTAGAAATGCAAATTCTCAGGCCATCCCGACCTAGAGAATCTGGAACTCTAGGGGTCTGCAGGTGCCTCTGATGCAGGCCAAAGGTTCTCAAAACCACTACTTTAAAAGATGGGTTAGGGGCGCCTGGGTGGCTCAGTTGGTTAAGCGACTGCCTTCGGCTCAGGTCATGATCCTGGAGTCCCGGGATCGAGTCCCACATCAGGCTCCCTGCTCAGCGGGGGGTCTGCTTCTCCCTCTGACCCTCTTACCTCTCGTGCTCTCTGTCTCTCATTCTCTCTCTCTCTCAAATAAATAAATAAAATCTTAAAAAAAAAAAAAAGATGGGTTAAATGAGAAAAAACTAAGTCTTAAGGCTCCAAGAGCCAGGAATGACCACTGATTTTAAGAAAATGGTACCCGGTGCTTTAGACAATGTCCCCCAAGAGGCTTGACTTTTTGCCATTCATTTACTCAAAACATGTTGATTGGGCACTCAGCCTGAAAGAGGCACACTTGTAGAACTTGAATGGTAAACAAGAGACTCAGTTTCTGCCTTCTTGGGGCTTAGAGGCAGGAATTTCACACATATTGACACACACACAACAGCAAATTATTAACACATTATGCTAAATGCCACAAGGGAGGGAAAAAAATAGGTGCTGAGAATAATGAAGGCCAGATTTCTTAGTGTTGATGATGAGGATATGGAGATGGATGGGGATGGGTGGCCCTTGCAAGCATCTCTAGGGAAATGACATAGAAGGTGAGACCCGAGGGACAGATAGGGGTTAGCTAGGGGAGTGTGGGGAATAAGGATGGAGCCCAGAAACAGCCTGACATATCAACGCTCCCACAAAGTTTCCACAAGGGCATATAAAACAACCCTACAAGGGAAGAAAGATCTTTTCCAAAAACAAACCAACCAACCTTGACCTTAACGTTTCACCTTATACAAAAATCAGTTCGGAAGGACTCAGAGTCTTGAATGTTCAACAAACCAAAAAACCTAAAACTTTTAGAAGACAACGTCAAAGATCTTCTAGAGCTTGGAGAAGAGTTTAGAGAGGACACGGAAAGATCCTTAAAAGTAAAAACTGGTGAAGTGGTCTTCGTTAAAATTAAAATCCTTTTTTCCTGTAAAAGCCATGGTCCAAAGGCACTGGGGCAGGAAAAAGCTCTATGTGTTTGAGCAACCGAGTTTTATATATAAGGGAGCGAAAGAGCAGAGAGGTGAACAGAGGCTAAATTAGGACATTTGTTGGGCCTTGCTGGATATGGGAAGGGGAAGGGGGTTTATTCTGAGTGCAAAGCCGCTAAACATTTTAATACCAATGTGTAACACAAAATAAATGATCTTACTTTTAAGTATTTTGCTTAGGGGGTGTCTGGGTGGCTCAGTAAGTTGAGTGTCCGACTCTTGGTTTTGGCTGGGGTGGAGGTGTCAGGGTGCTAGGATTGAGCCCTGTATGGACCTCTGTGCTTGGCGTGGAGGTGTGGAATCTGCTTGAGATTTTTCCCCTCTCCATCCCCCTCTGCCCCCCCCCACTTGCTCTCTCCCTAAAATAAATTAAAAAAATTTTTTTAAGTGTTTTGCTTAGGTTTCTTGCCATTTTAAGGAGAGGTAGATTGGGTCTTCTTTACTACTGTTATGGGGAAAAGACACTAGATGCTTCAGGAATGGTTTTTTTCAGACTTCACAGAGAATTTCCCCCTAATGATATAATTAGCCCTTTGAGTATACTTTAACTTCTGAAATTTTTACTTTCCACTCTATAACAGAAAGGCACAGCCATGCCAAACAGACATTTCCCATAAGTTCTTGTGTTCTCCTCGGAACCTACAAGTTCCTACTTACTTTAGAGAAACTTAAAAGAAGTTAAGTGGCTAGCCCAGGAGGTACCCTAAATGTTACTCTGTTAACAGTAGAGCAAAATACACCCGCCTGGGTGGTGTAGTCCCTTAAGCATCTGATTTATGATTTTGGCTCAGAGGTCATGGTCTCAGGGTCATAGGATTGAGCCCCTTGTTGGGCTCTGCACTCGGCAGAGAGTGTCCTTGAGATGCTCTCTCCCTCTCCCTCTCCCTCTGCCCCTCCCCGCCCCCCGCGCTCTCTCTCAAATAAATAAACAAATCTTTAAAGATTCTAAAAATGGTTACTGGAAAAGCTGGAACCAAAAATGGAATCCAGAGACCTACAGAGGAAAAACCAGCGTCTGCTGTGCCCCAGCCACTCCCAAATTCAAGTTGCCCTTAATAAGTCATACAAACTGTTCCAGCAGATCTTCAATGTCGCTTTCGGCCATTGAAATAAATCTCACTTAAGCTTTTCCCTTTTTGGTATCGGAGACTCAAAACATTCTCTGCTTTTTGGTCTCAGGCTTTCCTGCTGGGACAAGCACGCCGCTTTCATGACTCTGCAGAAGTTGTGCCCATGTTCGTCTCGCCGTGTGAGGTGCGTAAACACCAGGGTGTGGGGTGGGGGTACTGGCATCTGCCACCGAGATGACTGAAAACGTTTCCCGCCCGCCCGTCATTCCACCGAAGGATGCTTCGGGTAACAGCAGGAGAGTGACAGCCTGACCTAGGACAGGCCACCCCTCGGAGGGAAAGCCTTGTCCGCTGGTCGGCATGGGAAGGGAAGACCCTTGGGGTCATTCCCACCAATTTCAAGTGGTCAGAGGCCACAGATGTGTCCTCTCAGGGCCAATTCAAATGCCATCAATCACTCAACACTTCTGCCATGTTCAGCTGGAAGCCGCAACAGGCTTGGGGAAGGCGACTCTGCCGCTGGGACTCTAATCCTTTCCTCTGCAGCCCGAACTCCTGCCTCCTCCTTGCCCCACCCCTCCGTTCCTTCTTTTTTTTTTTTTTTATTAAAGATTTTATTTATTTATTTGAGAGAGAGAGAATGAGAGACAGAGAGCAGGAGAGGGAGGAGGGTCAGAGGGAGAAGCAGACTCCCCGCTGAGCAGGGAGCCCGATGCGGGACTCGATCCTGGGACTCCAGGATCATGACCTGAGCCGAAGGCAGTCGCTTAACCAACTGAGCCACCCAGGCGCCCCTCCGTTCCTTCTTCTAAAAGGCTCTGATGGCAATGTCTCAACTCCACCATGCTTGGAAAAGTGCCAGAGGATGGAACCTGCCAGGGAAGAGGCTTCACCCCTCACCCAGGAGAAAAAGGGTGGGCTTGAGCCAGAAACACAGGCTGACGCCACGTCCCCAGAAGGCCGGCTCCTAGAGCGTGCAATGTGACAGTGGGGCAGGGCCGAAAGCCATCTGCTCCTAAAGTGGGGGCCTTGGGGCTTTACTGAACATTTAGCCCCCTGGGTATCAACACCCACTGGGCAGGGGCTAAGGCAGCGAGGAAGCAAGAAGGCAAGATCCCCAAGATCCCTTCTCAGAAAGACCGTGCACACGGAGATCCAGAAGAAGGAGTGGGGGGGGGGGGGGAGAAAGGTCTGTGGGTATCTTTGTAGCGTACTAAAGCAAAATTAATTCACAAACATTTGTGTGAAACCACAGGAAGGGGGCAGGGAGAAGCTACAACAAAAATGTCTAGACATTGAGGGAAGGTAAACATTCATTAATGGCAAAATAGCTATTATTTCTAATTTAATATGTCTAGCATCTCAAGGACATTGTTTTGTTTTATACTGTTTTTAAATTTTTATTTTAAGATTTTATTTATTCATTTGAGACACAGAGATACAGAGAGAGAGAGAGAAAGCAAGAGCAGGGAGAGAGGCAGAGGGAGAAGTAGGCTCCTCGCTGAGCCAGGAGCCCGATTGGGCTTCGATGTGGGGTTCGATCCCAGGGTTCGATCCCAGGACCCTGGGATCATGACCTGAGCCGAAGGCAGACGCTTAACCATCTGGGCCACCCAGGCGCCCCTGTTTTTAAAATATATGTTAAAAAAAAAGAGAGAGAGAGAGAGAGAGCACAGGCAGGGGAAGGGGCAGGGGGAGGGACAGAATCTTAAGCAATTCCACACCCAACACAGAGCCTGATGCGGGTCTTGATCTCACAACCCTGAGATCATGACCTAAGCCAAAATCAAGAGTCGGATGCTTAACTGACTGAGCCACCCAGGTGCCCCCAAAATATACCTTTTAAATATAAAAATGATGTGTTGATAGGCAGTTACATGTGTTCGTTAAAGCTTCTAAGTCCCTTGCTATTCAAAGTGCAGCCCCCATGCCCCCTAACCAACAGCAGCGGCCGCTGCCGGACTTGTTAAAAAAGCAGAACCGTGGGCCCCACGACAGACCTGCTGAACAGAACCTGCAGCCTAACAAGATGCCCAGGTGATTCGCACACACGGTGAAGTGTGACACGCACTGGGTTAGCCCTATTTTCCCTATCGGGCTTTACGTTTCCTAACAGGCTTACCTTCTATCCTGAGAGAGCCTAAGCAGTGGTTCATGACCTTGGCAGAATAGCGGAATTACTGCCCAGGCCCCACCACACACCAGTGAAACTACTCTGCGGGTGGGACCCTGGCATAAAGAAAGCTCCCCCAGGAGATTCCAATGTGCTATGTTGAAAGTCATTGGTCTATTCCAGTGGTTTTCAAAATGGGATCCCTAGGGCGCCTGGGTGGCTCAGTCATTAAGCGTCTGCCTTCGGCTCAGGTCATGATCCCAGGGTCCTGGGATCAAGTCCCACATCGGGCTCCCTGCTCGGCAGGAAGCCTGCTTCTCCCTCTCCCACTCCCCCTGCTTGTGTTTCTGCTCTCGCTATCTCTCTCTCTGTCAAATAAATAAATAAAAAATCTTAAAAAAAAAAAAATGGGACCCCTGCACAAGCAGCATCACCATCACCAGGGAACTTGCTAGAAATGCATATTTCTCTCCTTCCTTCCCGTCTCTATCTCCCTCTCCCATGCACGCACACTCAATTAGGACTGTGCTTACAGAAAGGGAGCTCACTAAAACCTCAGGAAATTCTCAGAAGGCAGGGGTCCTGGTTTCTCTCTTGCACAACATATTTGGTACCTGAAATAAAAATCTTTGTAAGGATGGCCCAAAGTTCATTTAAAAATTGAGGATGAAGCCAGGAAGATACACTTGTAGAAGCTGACAGAGTCATCGGGTCGAAGCATCCAGGGGATGAGCAGACCACGTTGTAGGGCTTACCCAATTGCAACAGTGTTTCCCCAAATCTGAGTACAGCATCCTGAGACTCTCCCTAGAGATTCTGATTCCCTGATCCTGGCATGGTGTGTGAAATGTCTTGTTACAGGAGAAGTTTGGAGAACACAGTGCTTTCTAGGACTCTTATTCCTCACACGTCACTGTTTCTCAAAGTGTGGCCCTGGACCAGTATTGTCACCTGGAGATTTTTCGGAAATGCATGTTCTTGGGCCCACCCCGGGCTGCCAAATCCGAAATTTCAAGTGGACCCAGTGGTTGGTGTGTTAACAAGTTCCGCAGCCATTTCCAAAACCACGGCACTGGGCCGTTTTCAAAACTCTTCCATCGTTTAAGTGGAAACTACCTGCTGTTATCCAAACACCTAGTTTTTGGTGAGAAGCACAGAGAAATGTTGGCCTCTTCGTGGGTCGGGGGCCGTGGCTTGTGTCTTTCTTATGGAAGGGATGGTCTTCTTCCAAATAACAGGATGGAGGAACATGCTGAAGACAGTCTTCCGCTGTACTCATGAATTATTCACACTGGGTAGGAGCAGAGGAGCATTGAACACAATGCCAAAACTAAACCAGCTGTGCCAGTGTGGTGGGATTTTTAAAAAATACCATGAAATTTTACTTGTATTGGAAAGACGATGTTAACAGCAACAGGAAACACAGAAAACACTTAAGGGTCTACTGTGATGAGGTGTGTTGATGATATTCCTAGTTGCTGTCCTTTCTGTTCCCAAACGATTATTTTGTCAAGAAACGTATTCACCACAACGGTATGAAAACTGGTTCATCGTTTCCTTATGTTCAAATGCAAAAGGACTACTTGAAAACTCGAGGAATGCAAGCCAAAGAACATTTCCTACACAATGACAGGTCTCAGAGGTTTCTGAAACTCCCCAAATCAAATGCAAAGTTTTGTGGCTTTTAGCAAACACACACTGTTCAAGGGAGAGCTTTTACTGCCTTCAGTCCATATCCAAAAGAGGTCAGGACTCAAGGAAAGTCAAGAACCTCTGAGTCTCGGGATGCCTGGGTGGCTCAGTCGGTTGAGCCCCTGCCTTTGGCTCAGGTCATGATCCAGGGGTCTTGGGATCGAGTCCTGCATCGGGCTCCCTGCTCGGCGGAGAGTCTGCTTCTCCCTCTGCCTGCTGCTCCCCCCTGCTTGTGCTTTATCTCTCTGACAAATAAATAACATCTTTTTAAACAAAACAAAACAAAAAGAACCTCTGAATTTCAGCCTCTTTCACTGGACACAAATCTGGACCCAAGGCTTAACAATAAAATGTTCTAAGATATGAAAGAAAGTCCATTCCCTTACCTGGAAACCTCTTTTCTGTGGCCTTAAAAGCTGCTCATGAGGACGGGGGCTCATCCACAACAGTGGAGATCGTGATGAGCAAAGTCGCAGCCCAAGACCAGGAGCCTGGAAACCAGGTTCTCATTTCCACGTGGCCTCAAACGACCTCCAGGACTCTGGCAAAGTTACTTAAATGCTGTGGGCCCCCGGTTCTCTAGGGTGGGGGGAGGACAGCCCTGTAATAACAACTCCAGGGCTGACAGACATCCTGTGATTCTGTAATTGGGCTTGTGTCAATCCTAGGCTCCCCTGGGCCGATGTTGCCAAATCAATTCAGACCCCATGGCATGTTGTGCATGGGTCAGCAGGACATAGGTCTTGCCTCCCAGGCCCCCCGCCCCCCGCCACGTCTGGAAGCTCATCCTGGCACAGGGCTGACCACAGATACTGACCACCAGGCAACAGGGAGGAAGTGCTATAAGAGGAGGGTTCTGGATTCTTCTCCAACTCAGCGCTAAAAGGCGCTGCTTCGTCCTACCCCTTCCAAACGAAGGTACCTTTTCTCTTTTGGGGCAACAGTGCACATTTTCAACAATAAAGAAAAGTGTAAGAGAAAAAATGAAAACTCAGCTATAATTCTGGTGGGTAGTGTCCTAATTCTTCCCTGTGCTCACACACATGGGCATACACATTCGTTCCCAAATATGTTACTTTATTTTTCTTTAGTCTCTTCTATTTACTGTGAGTAGCATTTTTTATTAATATGTTACAATCTTTTCATCCTTTCACCCACTGACGTTTCCGCGATGGGACAATTATGAATAAAGCTGCTATGAATATTCTCCCACACATCTTTTTTGTGAACATGTGTTTACACACTCAGGAATAAAACTGCTGGATCACAGAGAGTGTGTGGTTAACTTTCTAAGAAACACCCCCAACTTCTTTCCAAAGTGGTTGCAACATTTTACATTCTCACTGCCAATGTACGCAAGTTCAAGTTGTTGCTCATTGTCACCCATACTAGATACTATCAGCTGGTATTGGTCATCACTGCTGGTGGTTTGACTTGCCCCTGTCTCCCTAATGACCAATGCTATTGAGCATCTTCTCCTGGGCTGAGTGGCCATCACGGACCTTCTTCTGCAACAACTCTGGGCACGTCTTTTCTTCATTTCTTATTAGTTGTTTGTCTTTTTGCTCTTGAATTACAGTAATTCTTTATATAATTGGGTAAGAGTCCTTTTCTGGATTTGTAAGTGTTAAAATATCACAAATATTTCCACCGCAGGCTGTTGCTTGCCTTTTTGTTTTCCTGATGTTGCTTTTTTGAAGAACAGAAGTTTTAAATTTTGGGAAGCCCAGCACACCAGTTGTCTTTTTCTATGGTTAGTGCTAAGAAGTCTTGTGCTAAGAAATCTTGCTTGCTCCTGAGATGCAAAGACATTATTTTCTGTTTTCTTCTAGAAGCTTTAAGGTTTTAGTTTTTTCTGTGCTTCATCTCAAATTAATTTTTGTATATGGTATGAGGCAGGGGTCGAGCTTAATTTTTCTCCATCTGAATAACCAATTGTCTCAGCACCATTACTATAATTCTTTTAACATTTATAGGAGCCATCTTTTTTTTTTTAATTTAATTTATTTATCTGAGAGAGAGCATGAGCAGGGGGAGGGGCAGAGGGAGAAGCAGTTTCCCTGCTGAGCAGGGAGCTGGACATGGGGCTCAATCCCAGGGTCCCGGGATCATGACCTGAGCTGAAGGCAGACGCTTAACTGACGAGCCACCCAGGAGCCCCTATAAGAGCCATCTTTTAAAGATAACACCTGCATCTTTCCGTTTTAACAGCTGCAGAATGTTCCCTTTCATGCCTGGGCCATATTTTGACTTTCCTTTTTACTGAATATTTAGATTATTTCCAATTTTCTCATATTACAAGTACTCTGGGAACATACTTTTACATTCAGCTTTGTGTACCTGTCCAATAATTCGCTATGGATCAATTCCAAGAAGTAGATTTATGACATGAAAAGACACAGCCTGTGCATTCTGACGGGTAATGCCAGGTCACCCTGCAGAAAGGTGAAACTCTCGCCAAAACCGCATGGAAGGGCCAATGGAACTGTAATCCATGTCTATCTTTGTTGCTTTTAACACAGTAAACACACCATCAAAACAATGCACCCAAAAATCTCTCTGCATACAATATGGTCTTTTTAAAAATTTTTTTATTCTTATGTTAATCCCCATACATTAGCATACAATATGGTCTTACGATGTTTGAATTTAATATGGCCATTTTTGTTGTTCAACGTGGGATTCTGTTTATTCTTCAGCCTTGGTTCAGAGTAAATTATATTTCATAAACTCAATTCCTGTATATAGTATTATATGGGGGTTGGTGTGTAACCAATTGGTCAGAGCAGAGATGGGAATATACTCTAGACTCCTGTCCTAAGACTGAAGAGGTCATTGTGTCAAAAGAACACAGTCAAGTACATACATTTGGATCCTAAGTACTTCTGGAACAGGCTCCCCTTTATTCTTTCAAAGAGGTATCTCATGCACACACATATACCCCACATAAGCAAATGGATAGGGAAAATGCTGGTAAACTGCAGAAGAAAGTTCTATTGCTGCCACTGTGAGGCCAGATTCCTTAGATTAAGAACACGGAAGAAGAAATTAATACAGCCAACTATGAATTATATAAAAATTTTCTGAAGCTATGAAACCAAGATTTTTTTTTTTTCAAGAGAGCCAAGGGGAAAATACGAAATATATATATTTTTATATATATGTATATATATACACACATATATTTATATTAACACACACACATTTTAGAGGTGTCCTTACAGAAATAAAACCACATACTTGAAGTAAAGACATATGAATATATTATATACAACGTCATATGATCATAAAACTCTTGGTTGCCATGGTTTAACAATGTACTCTAAAAACCCTCTGAGTTCAAATCCTGCCTTTGTAGATGAGAACATTTCATGAAATAACAGAGGTTAAGAGGTAGAATAGAGTCCCAGGAACCAGTTAGTGGTGGCCCCGTGTCCTTCCAGGTGAAGAGAGGAAGGCACATAACAGCTTTTTTCCTACGACGGAAGCAGGAGGAAATGGAACTTTCCTCTCTGAATGTCCCCTAAGTTCCTATTTATTTTCTTACACTTCTGCCCCCCTCTCCTTCCCTCCTAGTGCTTAACTGCTGCACAAAGAGCCAGTTCCTGGAATTCCAAGTCCACGAAATGTGTATTTCTTGATTCTTTTCATTGGCAGGAACACGGGGCCTCTGTAGAGAATGCTGGAAGATTTTGGAAGAGACTGGGAGCCAGAGTTAAGCCCTAACTGGACAGTTCTTCTCGTTTGAGCCTCGGCGAGGCAGCTCCTCCCAGTACAGGGTCCCCTCTGTGTCACCCTCACTTGCGTGCGGGACAACAGTGACATCCAGAGTCAGAGCCCGCTGAAGCACCCTGTCCTGACAAGCGGCTAGTCAGCAACACCAGCACCCCTCAGAGCTGGTCACAAATGCAGCAAGTGGCCCCCACCCCAGCCCCAGGACATCAGAATCAGCATTTCAACAACTGCCCACCAAAAAGTGCGAGAAAGCCTGCCGGTTTCACAGAGATCTCTACACCATGTTCGCATCTCTGCGAAGTCTGTGCTCTGGGGAGAGCACTGAATTGACCCGTTCCATCGATTTTTCTTTATTTTCTGACCTTCTGCTTTCACTTTGCAAGACTTAATTCCTACATATTTCTTTAGGGCCCGTGAGCGCAGAGGCCAACCCCAGAACTCCCACACTGGCTGTGGACAGAGAAAGGCAGTTACGCCTTTGCTTTCAACCAACCATGACTTGCACTGAACTTTTTGCCTACTGCTCTGCTTATGAGAATATTGGGATTGCGGATGCTAAAATAGTACAGTATCCTCTTGACCTTTTCACAAATTCCACACTAATGCTGGCGGGAAGGGACCATTTTGTGGTTCTACTGGGGCCTGCAAGGGGACACAGAAAGTGGCAGCCTCCTCCTTGCACGATTTTCCCTTTAAGCTCCTGTCTCTTTCAGTCCCACCTTCTCATTGAAGAGAGGAGGAGGATGTGGTGAAGAAGCTGTCTTGTACATGAACAGACATTTTTCCAAAGAAGACATCCAAATGGCCAACAGACACATGAAAAAGTGCTCAATATCACTCAGCATCAGGGAAATCCAAATCAAAACCTCAATGAGATACCACCTCACACCAGTCAGAATGGCTAAAATTAACAAGTCAGGAAACAACAGATGTTGGCGGGGATGCGGAGAAAGGGGAACCCTCCTACCCTGTTGGTGGGAATGCAAGCTGGTGCAGCCACTCTGGAAAACAGTATGGAGGTTCCTCAAAAAGTTGAAAATAGAGCTACCCTACAATCCAGCAATTGCACTACTGGGTATTTACCCCAAAGATACAAATGTAGGGATCTGAAGGGGTACATGCATGCATATGTTTATAGCAGCAATGTCCACAAAAGCCAAATTATGGAAAGAGCCAAGATGTCCATCGACAGATGAATGGATAAAGAAGAAGTGGTATATATATACAATGGAATATTATGCAGCCATCAAAAGGAATGAGATCTTGCCATTTGCAACAACGTGGATGGAACTGGGGGGTATTATGTTGAGTGAAATAAGTCAAACAGAGAAAGACATGTATCATATGACCTCACTGATATGAGGAATTCTTAATCGCAGGAAACAAACTGAGTGTTGTTGGAGTGGGGGGTGGGGTGGGAGGGATGGGGTGACTGGGTGATAGACACTGGGGAGGGTATGTGCTCTGGTAAGTGCTGTGAATTGTGCAAGACTGTTGAATCTCAGATCTGTACCTCTGAAACAAATAATGCAATATATGTTAAGAAAAAAAAAGAAGAAGTAGAAGGTAGCGGGAGGGGAAGAATGAAGCGGGGGAAATCGGAGGGGTAGACGAACCATGAGAGACGATGGACTCTGAAAAACAAACTGAGGGTTCTGGAGGGGAGGGGGGTGGGAGGATGGGTTGGCCTGGTGGTGGGTATTGAGGAGGGCACATTCTGCATGGAGCACTGGGTGTTGTGCACCAACAATGAATCATGGAACACTTCATCTAAAACTAATGATGTAATGTATGGGGATTAACATAAGAATTAAAAAAATAAAAAGAAAATAAATAAATAAATAAATAAATAAATAAATAAATAAATAAATAAATAAATAAAAAAGAAGCTGTCTTGTAGGCTGGCCCCTGTGAGCTGCCTCCTCATCCCACCCGCCCCCCGGAGTTACCCCGTAAGAGTTGCAGGCGCGAGGCATGTTTCACACCCCCTCGCCTGGCTGCCAGGGGGGAACAATGGTCAAAAATGAGATGGATATGGGGGCGCCTGGCTGGCTCAGTCGGTAGAACATGCAACTTTTGAACTCGGGGTCTTGAGCTGGGCGTAGAGCTTAAACAAACACGCAAAAACCCCGAGATGGATACCATCTGAATGCGAACGAATATTCACGCTGAATGAAAACCTTGATAGGCCTTTAAGAAGGAATGTGAGCCTTCAAGCTCCAACAAGCCAAGCGAGAATGGAAACCGTTCGGGTGTCAAAGCTACTGTTTTGAGTCAGGATGCACAAATACACGTTCCAGTCTGAACAGCTCATTGGAAACCGGCTGCCGTGGGTGCTGATCATCAGACACTACGACTTTAATCTGTAAGTTGCATTCCAGGATGTTATTGGACCACATCCACATCTAAGTCAGTTCAGTGGCTGAGGTCAATTATCAAAGATTCTTATAATTCCACTCATTTGCTGGCTCCAGGTTTCATATTTTTTTTCATTGCCTTGAACCAAGGTGACTGTATAGCTTATGATTCAAATTGGGACACTTTTGAGAGGGCTAAAATGTTAAGTGGATGGGATGTTGGAACAACAGGCATAAACTAGGATGGTCCCAGGCAAACTGGGACGCATCATCTCCGAGCCTTTAAAGAACTAACAGAAAAAAAGGGAGGGGAGGGGAATACCAAGACAGAGAAACACGGAGAGAATGCTATAAAGACATAGAACCCAGTCATAAAACAGGCATCTTATATATATCCCACTGCCACGAGGCTCTCTACGTTCTTATTAATGGATAGAGTAAAAATGCACAGTGGAGCCTGAGAAAGGCTGCAGGAACCAGCGATGTCCAACAAAGCTGTGCTGATTTCACTGTCCTCACCCCTGTAACAGGATTTTCTAGAGCAAGAGGCTCTGAATAATACAACCTCCAACATTCTCCTGGGAACTGCATTCGACACTGACATGCATTGTTTCCCTTTAACTCAGAATCTCAGAGCTGGATTATCTAAATGGTTTCAGGACAAAAGTCTCCCACCCTCTATTCTAAACCAAACCTGAGAACAGACTCGTCCTCGCTATACAATTTTTCAATGTTTTCACGTGCATTATCTTAGCTAAGCTGCAAAACAGCTTCGTGAGATACGTGCCCCCTGTAACAGATCAGGAGACCGGGTTCAGAGAGGTGAGCTCCACGTGGCACCTGACCTGGTAAGGGCACAGACCAGCCCGACGCTCACTGCCAGCCTGCTGCTCTCTGCCCACCCAGGGGCTGTAGACTTTGCAAGCGCAACGATTGTCCTCGTTTCCTAAGCACCTACCACTCAGCCTAGGACAGGCAATGTTCAGAATTATTTTAATTAATTAAAAATTATTTTTTGAGTGAATAAGTTGTATAAGAAAACGAATTGGTACATTTCGATTCTTATGTCTGTGTTCTCATTTTATGACCCAGAGAAGGCAAATATTACATATTATATATGCAGAATTTTTAAAAAAATATTTTATTTATTTATTCATGAGAGTCAGAGAGATAGAGAGGCAGAGGGAGAAGCAGGCTCCTCAAGGAGCAGGGAGCCCGACACGGGACTCAATCCCAGGACTCCTGGATCATGACCCGAGCCGAAGGCAGATGCCCAACCATCTGAGCCACCCAGGCGCCCCTATGCAGAATATTTTTAAAGAAATACTGAGATGATCCTAGTAAAGAATGAGAAAAGAGAGGCACCTGAGTGGGCTCAGTCGGTTAAGTGTCCAACTCTTGATTTCAGCTCAGGTTATGATCTCAGAGTTGTGAGATCGAGCCCCACGTTGGGCTCCACGCTGGTTGTGGAGCCTGCTTAAGATTCTCTCCCTCTGCCCCGTGCCCCACTAAAAAACTGAAGAAAAATAAAGAGAAAAGAAACAAGTTTACTATTATGTAGTTAACAGGGCTAACAGGAGAAGGAGCCTCCAGAAACAGCAGGTGAAAGCAGAAGGTTGAAATGTACTAGACCAGCCAGATCCTTTATTTTGACCTCATTTCCTTGGACTTGAAAGACAGCTTTGTGAAAGACACTTTCCCAAGGCTACCCACCTAAGGTCTTAGATCAGGGCTGGTATTTCAGGTCTCTGCTACAGTAAGTGTGGGCCAGAAAGAAAAACTAAGGTCATTCAGCTCCTTGTTTATTTGTTCTGAGTCAACAAGGAAAAAATAGCATAGAACACTTCATGAGATTATGGCGAGAGCTTTCAATCCCCATAGTTTCCTTTTGGTGCTTCTTAGTTGGTACTAGGGCTGCATACAACTGTTTTAAGAGCTTTCTCTTAAAAAAGAGCACTCCCTTAAAGCAAACTGGAATGATTAAAACAAACAAACAAACAAACCCCAAAATAAGAAACAGGGTGGGGATTAAATACACATCTAATGGGGAAAGAGGGTGAACACTAAAAACTACACTTGTTTTTTGTAGTTTTCACTACTTTGAGACCTGACCAGCACCAAAGATCAATAGTTATAGTGGATTAAGTTTCATGGAAAGGCACAGAAAAAAACAGAGGTATAAAAGTGACAGTCCTCTTCAATTTCAGCTTCCATAATTCTCATATTTCATCAATATAATAAGAGTACAATACAACATCTGTGTTTAGGATGCCAAGAAATAGTATAAAACATCCTTATGTGATAAGGACATAGCTACCCAGAACTTAGGTGTCTGCTTGGAACACTGATGAGAATAGAAAATAATCAAATACATAGACAAATGATCACAAATAAATCCATGAACTTTGCTTATGCTGAAACCTTAAATCCATGGCCAATTTACTCTTCTTCCACATATGATTCTATTAAATTTGGCTATTTGGCCCTCCTTCCCCCCGCCCAGCCCCCGATCAGATTACAAATTTGGGGGACTGCTTTAGAAAAGTCATGTAACTCAAAGGCAAATTCCTATAGCAAGAGAAGAGATGTTAAAATGATGCTTGGGGTGCCTGGGTGGACCAGTCGGTTGAGCATTCGACACTTGATTTTGGCTCAGGTCGTGAGGTCGAGTCCTGCATTCAGCTCTGTGCTGGGCATGGAGCCTGCTTAATATTCTCTCTCTCCCTCTCCCTCTGCCCCTCCCCACTTCCTGCTCCCATGCTCTATTTCTCTCAAGAATAAAATGAAATAAAATAATGCTTGAGAAGGCAGAAAACAACCCTATAAACTGTGGTTCCTAGGGACGTTATAACATAATAACTACGATTGACAATGACAGACCTAACTTACTAAGAGAAGCTTAGATTATGTTCAATAGATTGCTTAAGAAAGTGTATAAATATGTAATCAATTTCAAAAGGTTTTCAAACCAAAATGGTTCAGGCGAGAGAAGGACACAGAAGACATCACCACGGGGACAAATCCTGAGCCATTTGGAAAGCTCAGCTATCCAGAACAGCGTATTCTCTGATGGAGAAATATAACCTGATTTACTACAATTTACTTCTAAATATAAAAAACATTTCCTGTGTTGCCTGGTGACATTCATATTTTCCAAAGGTTAGTGTATGACTGCTAAAACAGGTATCCTAAGCAAACGTAGAAAAACATAAAAGTAAAACAAAGTGTCAAGCAAGGACATTATTAGTTGACTGCCAAGCCCTGAACTGTTAGTCCCTGGGGTCTACCATCAAGCTTCAGTCCTCTTGTCATTCCAGGGTAGCCTGCCTGGGGCTCAGCACCTGCTAAGCGGTCAACAAATGTCTACTGAAATACCTATGTAATTTTGTGGCCAAGTCAGATCATTAAGGCCAAAAATGTAATTTGTGGTCAAATCATGAAATACTTTCTTAAAAAAAAAAAAAAAGAAAGAAATACTTCCTTAACCCTTTACCTTGTTTTTGTCGCAAAAACCGGGGTACATTAGTTTTTAAACATGAGAGATTCCATTTCCTAAAAATGTGACCTCTTTTATTTCACTGATTATTAACCTGAAGCCTAATTCTTAAACTCCTAAAAAGGTCAGAGTAGAATTCAATTCCCTTCTACCCAGGTTAATGGTAGTTGATGTTTGTTCTCGAAACACCAGCACCTACACAACAATCACAGATACTTATCACCTTGATTGAAACCACAGGGACCACGTAGATTTAAAAATCTGTGCTTCCTTTAACTGCTTTCCAGGAAGACAATATAGCCTAGTCTCCAGACCCACCAGGCCAGGATCCTCTCTACTTTATTACCAAGGTTAAAAGAGACTGGTTTTACCACAGACACCACCTGGAGAAGCACCAAGGCAATTGTGG